AACACATCTGTCCATCAGACAGAGTGCTGCTATGCCTCCTGTCATCATTAATGGACGTCTCTTTAAAATGACCGCTCAGAGGAGAGGAGTTCTCCTTTCTCTAACCGCCTGTTGCTTCCCCTCCTCGGCTCCTACTCTCGCATCTCCTGTGGGCGGGACTAAGACACGAGGATAGGAGTCGAGGAGGGGAGTCGAGGAGGGGAGTCGAGGAGGGGAGTTAGAGAAATGAGAAAGGGCCAGTATCTCTCTCCACACACACACACACACACACACACACACACACACACACACACACACACACTTTGTATTGTATTATTGTATTGTATGAGAGAGGTTCCAGGTTGAATTGAGGCGGATGTCATTGATCAAATGATAAATGATAAATTAATAAACAAACATTTGCATAAAGCATATTTGTCCACTCATATGTTGATAAGATTATTAAAAGCTTGAAAAATATCCCTAAGGAACATTTAGAACAGATAAAAAATGTGCGATTAATCGCGATTAACTATTTTAATCGACTGACAGCCCTGGTTATAATAAACATACATACATGTTAAATGGATATGCCCGCCTTCTTTCATTTATCTTTCCATTCCCACAACAATATACATAAAGAAATGGCATATTTTGGACACAGTTCGAATGGTGATTAATCATGATTAATTAATTTTTAAGCTGTGATTAATCTTAATTTAAATTGTTGCTGCACCAATTTCACTGATATGCTGCCAAGCTAATTTAGCATTAGCTGTTCTTGTCTGTCGAATTTCATTACCAGAGCGTGTCATCACTTTGATAATTGAAAAAGTTCATTTATCACAATTTGTGTTGGTTATTATTTAATATTATATTACTGGGTCAGCTTGTAAACTACACTTTCACACTGCCATTTCCTCACTGATTAAATACCTTTAGTTTTCTCCCTAAATCGAAATATTTAGGAATCATCAAAACTATGTTCCTGTCTGAGGAACAGCCTTGCCAGCCTTGCCTTGTCGTTTTCACATAATAAAAGCTTTGCATTGTGGTATGTTTTTTAGTGATGTAAAACAGCACTGCTCATATGATGATTGCTGCTTTGCTTTCGCTCAAACATAGTTATTCATTTGATGTGGAGTGCAAAAACCTTTCTACAGTATGTGTCTCAAAATGCACCTTTTCTACCTGTCCAGTGTCCACCAATTTCCTCTTACTTTTCCTCTTGTCCCAGTCACCTCATATCACTCCCATATCCACATCCTTTAATAACCGCTGCCTTTCCCTCCAGTCCCTTACCCAATCACCTGTTTAATCTCTCCTCATCAGCCATGTAGAAGTGTAACCGGCCCTAATTTATTTTAATCAACCGGTGTACTATTGACACATTTAGGATTAAGACTGGAGGCAGTTAAGCAGTTTTGATGTCAACCGCAAAATAATTATAATTGTCAATGATGAAAATTATGTTAACCCTAAACTCTTTCTGTTGATTAACTTCTGCAGCTCACCTCAGAAAATAAGACTAAAAGCACTTTCTCTTGTGTGTACTGAAAGTGTGTGTTGTTTTTATTTGTGTGTGATAGGCCCGACCACCATGTATCAGCACCGTGCTGGTAATGAGTTATGCAAACGTCTGAAAGTGGACACCACCCGAGAGGCCAGAGGAGTCCCGGCGAAAAAGCACATTCCCCTGGAGTCCCCATAGCAAGAAGACCCACAGGAGGAAAAATGGAGCCTCTCGAGCTCAGGATCCAAGTCAAATGTAGGTTCTGGTCAACTTGGTCCCTAAAAAAAAAGAATTGCAGGCCCCAATTTTTAAATGTACCCAACGTACATATAGTCTACTTACTGATTAATGTGAAATACAGTACCGGTAATCCCTTCTTAAACTAAATCACTTATTCGGTTTATAATAAAGAGAACACTAACATTATTAAATGCAACAATTTGAAATGGATCTTTTATTAATTAATTATTAGTAAAGGATATATTCAGGAGTAATTTTATCATACATCAGTATGTAATAAATAAATAAAGGTTAATAAATGTACATAGATGTAAATAAATGTGACTTAGTTTTGAGTATATTTATATAAGTAAAAATGTGAGATACCAATAGGAATCATTTTGAAAATATTTTTTCCATTGCACTTATTTTATGCCTATAATAAAAACCACTGGGAAACCAGGACATTCCAGTTGTTCTGTATTTAATCAAAATGGAAATGTTGATGTTGACTCCTTATTTAATATCCTACCCAAAGATCTAGTTAATCAAGAAATTACTTCAAATTAAGGAGTAGAGATAGTGTTTTTATAAAATCTTATGTTGATTGGAGTAATTAATAAAGATAATACAAATACACACATTACGTCCTAAATGACCTTCTATTGTCGTTTTAAATCTTCTATAAATCAAATGAAACTCTTGCTGGCTCTGTTAGTGTGCTAATTTGGTCTGAGCTATGTGAGTGTGAGAAACAGAGGCAGCCCTTGTCACATTAGTCATGCTCACGCAAATTAGCACGAGCTACAGAATACTTTGTACAAGTCTCACACAAATACATTTATTTGTATACTTTAGGTCCCTGCTCTAAGAGATGCATACAATTGACTTTCCTCTCTTGATGTTGAAGTTATACGTTTTAAGGTCAAAAGTTTAACACATTTACTATCTACATAATTATAATAGTTGAACCTATAAAAGACACAACACTACAATTGGATTACTGTATTTTGGGCAAAAATATAAAATATAAAATTGTGAGAAGATACAGATCAGGAGAAGATAATCCAGTATTGTTTGGTCAATGTAGCAACACAGGAGTCATGCCACGCAAATGATCTGATTTTATACTGTTATTGTACTTTAACAGCCATAAAGTGAGAGTAAAAACTCAGTTTAATATAATGAGAAATGTTCTGTTGCATGAATACAAACAACAGAGCATAATAAAAATGTGCTGCCAAATGTCTGCAAAAAGTCACAGGTATGTGGGCCTTTTCTGTCTGGTTAACATTTTACACTTTTGATTTTCTCAGGATACTGCATGCTGGCTTTTTACATGTAAACCTGAGGTTGAAGAAGAAAATCCTACCTGTTCAACTGAAGATGTTGATGATGAAGAACTTGTTTACAGGTTAGTGGAGCCTTGGCATGAATCAAACATGTGCATAATTGGGTTATGTGAGTCCCTCACACATATCTAAATTCTAGAGGATTTACTTCTACAAAAAGCAAACTTTACTTTGAATCCTCTCACATCAGCCTGAATTATTATTTATCACATTGTATTCAATTTAAGACCTTAAGGTCATGATACATTGAGTAATAAATCCAGCCGTAATGAGCCCACTGTCAGCCAAGACAAGATAACTGAGACTAATAGAAATATTAAGCTGACACTGACAGGCTTTAACAACTCTCACGCTATCTCAATTACGTCTACCCCCTGCTGGATTATTATAACCTAATAAACTGGATCATACTGAACATGGTATGTGCAGCGTAGAGGGCACAGGCCCGCCTGTTAAGACGTCCCTGCTGTTGACAAGTATGTTCGACACATGTGAGATGTTTTCCATTGACAGTCTTGTGCTCACACACTGGCTACAGAGGGATGCTTGACTTGCCAACAATTATTGTTGTTGCATTGTGTAGTCAAAGCAAGTTGTTCAGTTCACTCTAGCAGGTCAGCCAAACAACAGAAAATAATACAAATACCTAAGCTCATTAGTTTTACTGCCGGTATACAGTAAACTCCTAGTAAACAGCTGGAGTTTGTACACAGAAAAGATAACTCAGTAATGATCTACATGATCCAGTTCTGAAACATGTTAACAACACCAGGAACACAACTCCTCTTCCCAGAGTGAAACCAGAAACTAGGCCCCCCATAAAGTACCAGAATTGCTGTGCTAAGATATTTCAGGATCTTTCAAGAAAGTATGATAATATGGCCACCTGCATTCAAAGTGTCCAGCTACTGCTCTGCTTAACAAGCCGAAGCTCTGGCAGGAATTATAGAGATCCAAATGTAGCCAACAAAGGTTTTCACTGTGTTATTGCTTAGAAAGAAGTCAGATTGCGCAGGAATCTTCCAATGCTTCCAATACTCGAAATCTGTCAATTTAATTTTAAAAGGCAATTCTTCCTGCTATATATCTAAAAAAATAATACAATAAATTCATTAAAAGATGGACAATGCCCTATCAGAAAATGTTGACATGATTGTGTCTAAGGTGCTTATGTTTCAGATCTAAATGCAAGTTTGTTTTGTTCCAATATTTTAATGTTTTGCAGCAAATAATGTTTAAATATGTGCATCCATTGATGTTATCTAAAGAACTTCCAGAACAAAATCTTGTCACCTGTTCCTTGGTCTATGGCCTAACTTTATACCAAATTTGTAACAGCTTGTTAAAAACATTCCTGCTATCTTAATGACTAACAAACAGTAAAACATTACTCTCTGGTAAAAAGGCAACAAACAATACCGAATTTAGCCAAACCTGTCAAAGAAACAATAAATGAAAATCTAGTTTGGCATCAAGGCAGCTTCAGTACGGGTGATAACGTGATAACATCCATGAGATCATTTCCGGTTCATGCAGGCCTGCAGCATGTTGGGCTCAGCCTTAATCCTCAACATGACAGCTGAGTACAATAAAAACAAACGTGTTGATGTCTTTTTTTACAACCGTCCTGCTATTCACTCAGATTGAATGAACTTCTGGCATGTTCCCAATTTCACCTGTTGAACTATAGCACAGGTGCACACCCCCCCCTCAGGCTGTATTACCTGTAAGTCTGCAGACTGGGTTTTCCTCCCCCTCTTCTTGGTGGAGAATATTTTCCACAGGCGTCCCCACAGGAAAGTAGCAACCAGACAAATACTCCCTAATATCCAAACATCTTTATCCCTGAATAAGTTCTCCATGATCGAAGCCTTCCGCTTCCTGTCCCGGGCCGAGGGTCTTATCTCAGCCTCTCGGCCTCCTGTGGCGAAGGGGTCTCAAATGGCGGACAACGAGTTGTTGACATGTGGCGACACATTGATTATGAAATAGTCGCGCTCCTGCAGCTGAATGATCAGTCTCTTGCTCACCACAGACTCGGACAAGAAAAGTCTCTGTGCTGTCAAGCCCCCTGCCCAGCAAGTGAACCCTTCACCCGCCACCCTGGCTTCCTCCCTGCCTCCCACCAGCAGGACCTAAAAGGAGAGAACATGCTGTCTCCTAGACAAGAACGGGACAGGTGGTGTTGGGTTCAGGGTGTCGTTGCTGTACGCAGAATCAGATGCCTCCCGCTGCTGCTGGCATGTGGGTGAGACCCCCCTGATATCCTTTAACCTCGGACACAGCACTTCATGCGTGCGTACTCCTAAGTATAAGTGTCAGGCAGACGATTTGTTTCTCTGTACCTGACAAACGAACATGTGCATGCATCATTGCAGATGCATACGATATGCAAACAGGTCAACAATCACGCACGCATGTAAACAAACACCTGCATCTGTGTGGTGCTAAGTTTATCCTGTTTGTGGCACATGTTGCACAGTAAATCAAAAGTGCTGAAGAGAGGGGGAAAGATGGAAATAATATATGTTGTATTCAGGACACACAATCTATAAATTAAGATGTGCAGATCCAATTTACTTGTGCTGTCAGCAGAGGACTGCACAGTTTCCTATTTGGACTTTGAATGCCTCTGTGTGTGTGTGACAGCTATGTGTCTGGATGGTATTATTTATTCTGGATAGTGGAATGAAACCACTGCAGTCCAGCAGATCAGATCCCGCCCCATAACCTGCCAAACCTATAATTAACACCTATACTATTTATCTCACAAAGAAAAATCTATTTAAATGGAAACGGGTATAGAGATTGCCAGTTGATATTTGCCAATGTTTTACATTTATTATTATCCAAATAGAGAAGAAAAACACTTTTTTCAGGCAGCTAAAGTGAGCAGGTTGTCATAAATTCATAAACTTCTGGAACAGTCTAAAAGCTTAATTTAAGCCAACAGGTGTGGGGCGGGACGAGGGGTTACAGAGCAGGACCCCTGGGAGGGGAAATATTCCCCAGTGGGAATTAGAGCAGGGCTGGAGTGACAGCGTTTGTTAATGAAGCTGGTGGATCTGGTGGCTGACCTGCATGTTCCTGGAACTGTTACAAGTAGTGGAAGAAGAGTACAAACGAAGGAGGGAAAACCAGGGGGAAGTAAGGACAGAGCGAAGGTCAGAGTTCAGAGATAGAGTGGAGGGTGAGAGATATTTACTTGGCCCTATCATAGGCTGAGGATCTTAAATTGCATGTGTATAAATCGTTCCCTTTAGCGCTCCCTGGTGGTCACTTTGAGAGCAGCACTGATTTATAGTTGGACAGACAAGAAAATAAATTCCAAACATAATGTAAATGCTAAGTTTGCCTACATCTACAGAGTAGTTATACTGAGATCAGACCATACATATGAAAGAGTGTAGAACTTATCATGGTTCTTCATAGGTTATAAATAATATTTAAAAAGCGTCTGAATTGGTCACAAACATAGGAAATAATTATAATTACTCTCAGCAAGAGTTGTTTCCAACGATGAGTGCAGGAAATGAACAACTTCTACACCTCCACGCTTTATATTTAATAACTGTTAGTCTACATATTTACAACACAAACCACAGTATCAGATTTCACTACATGATAATTGTGGCCAAAATTATTTACAAATCATATTATCACAATATGTATAGAACACTTGAGGAACATATATTTTATGTTTTTTCTGAAGTCCTTCATATTCACTCAATAGTATTTGTTCATATGTACCTGTTGGTAAGTTTTTTTTTTTTAGGTTACAAAGATAATCCCTGTTGCTTGTTGATTCTATTGTAGGTCAGTACAGTCAGCAGTAAATTGCACATGTCATTTTGGCCTTTATCCATACCAATGCCAACGTTTTTCTGTTTCTTTTTTGCCTGTTTTTCATTTATTTTGTGCCAGGGAAACAAATAATTATTTATCGTAAAAAATTATCAAAATATATTCTGCCCTTCATCAGACTAACTTTGAATGAGAACAAATTCCTAAAAATAACTTTTACAAAGGCCTCTTCAGCCAGCTCTACAGTTACTTATTCTAATACCTGCCTGATGACAGTCAATTTGACTTTTTCGTCATAATCTATAAGTAGTTCCTATTGACTGAGCTCCCTTTGGTTACTCACAACTCGAGTGCCTGGGGTTGTGTTATAAAGTTTTAACAATAACTCAAGGTAATAACTGCAAGGTTCCTGTATTCATTTTTCCAAATGAGTATTGCAATCTGGCCATGGCTGCCATCTTGTGGCAGCTAAGCAAATTGATGTTAAATATAATTGTGTGTGAGGGTGACAGATATTTTGGTTGAGCAGGTTCAAAGAGACCATAAAAACACAAAAAGATCTGCAGATAGCTTTAGTGAGCTTGTTATATTCCACCTGTTGGTGCATGGTGTTCCTGCCAACAGGTGCATTGAAGCGGAATAGTGTTTGTGATGGTTTATTTCAGTTCACCTCTTCCTCCCCTCTGCACAAACTGCTGATTGTGACACACGGCAGCAGTCCAATCAGGGGGCACACGTACAGCGGCAGATCTCATGCACTCTTAACTACCGTAACCGACTGTATGGTGGACCTAAGGGTCAATGTTTGATTCAGTTGCTCATTCTTTTATATTTGGTCAGCAAAAAGAGGGATTAAGATTAGGATTTTAAGAGCCATAGCCTACTGTTTTTTTCTTGTATGACACAATTTTCTTTTCCACAACAGTTGAATATACTTTATACTAAATTCTAGTAAATGTAAAAGTCTGTTTTTTTGGACAAGTTATCCTTTCAAAAGCATCAGGATATGGAGTTTTTCTACTAAAGTGTCCTTAAAAAAGTTAAAACACAAAAGGAAGTAGGGAGTACCAGAAACCAGTGAACACACCAATTTCTCTGATCAACCCCAGTTCTTAGGAAGCTGGTGCATTAGTTCTATGTGGACGATAAGGGTGAGGAGAAAAAAAGGCAGAGCCTGTTACCTGCTGGTTCCCTCCCTCCAGCTCCACATGTTTGAGCTCCCAGAAGCAGCGCATGGTCTCCACCTTCTCCAGGTGCCGGTAGAAGGCCAGTCGGCCCAGACGTAGGCTGTTGCTGCGGTTGCGGATCGCCTTCAGCCCCTCCATCTTTTCTACGACGGGGGACATGGGTATCGGTGGTGGTACAGCAGATGAGGAAAGTTGAACGTTCTTCTTGCCAGAAACAGACTCATTACACAGCGTCCTCTTGTCTGACCTGAAATTACATCAAGCTGTTTATTAACATTTAAAATAAATTGGAAAATGAATGCTTTCTCCATCATCCATCAAGAGAAAGGTGTTGTGTGTGAACATTTCTGGTTTAAATCTTTTTTATTCCGACTGATGGTCAAGGCAAAACAAGCTATTTGAATGCAACACATTTGCTTCTGCAAAGTGTTATGGGCTACTACTCAAATTAATATATAAAAAAGAGAAAATATGCAAAATAAATGTTGTAAAAATAAATTGCAGTATAGTAATCTTTCTTTACAACCCTATTTAATTAAGAAACAATCTAGAGTTAAACTAACCAGAAAGAAATGTTTAAAGATAAGACAATGAAATACCTAAATCCAACAACGACATGGCTTTTACTTGTCTGACTCTAAAGGGATTACTGCGTCGGCATAAACAGTATAGCGAAATCTCTTCCCTTACCAATTGCTCAACTCTAATCTACACTGTTGAAATAGCAGGGCCCAACATATGCTTTGACCAGGCCTTCAGTGGGCACAGTGTCTCTGATCCGGCTGGGATGACGGATGATAGGGTGGAGAAATCCTGCCTGACGCCTGCTGGCGACAGCTGGCTTTCTGCTGCGCTCTACCTGTTGAGCCTCTGGGGGAGTCATTGAAGATCACTGGGGATATTTATACCTCAAGTGTAAATGTCCTGCCTTTGCTCAACAATTACAGAGGTCAGAGAGGGGCTGTAGTTTCAATAAGCTGCATGAGTCCCTGATGCACAGGGCATGTAACAGCCAGGGGCTTTTCTTCAGAATCTCGGGGCAGGATTACAACTCCTGTGCTGAAACCAAACGAGAGGCCAGGGCCACCTGGCAATGTTATTTAAGTTGCCTTTTTTACATTCTGTGATTTATTTACAGATCTTATAATTGTTTACTCCCTATGGATATGAGGCCATGGGTTTGGTCTGCCGATGCACCAATGTGGCCAATACATTCAGACCACTCATTAGTTTATATTGTTAATAAGAAGATAACGAAGTTTATTGTACAAGGTAGAGGCTTGTTTTGAAATTAGGCATTTAAGACAAGATATGTTTACAGTATTAGAATTCTTAACCAAAAACAATGGCAACTATCTGGATAAAGTCATAAAATGCAGTTTTGTCATTAGAAATACAAAGATTTTTTTTTAGACAACTTTTACAGAATTTCAACATGAGTATCCGTCTGAACTATCTTTGTTGGTTTGTTTGTCATTACCATGAGAGGCCTGCAGACAACTTACACAATCATAAAAAACTACTCTCATTAATAACGTTCTTAATATTTTGAGGAGAATCACAAAATAGGTGTTTGGGCCAAAGTGACCATGAGGTCTGAAGTTAATTTGATAGGTTACCATTTTTCCTGAACATAAGCTTTAGCAAGCCTGCAAAACTCTCTCTCAAAACCTAACTTATTGGCGAGTAATATTTCAGCTAATCTTAATGCACTGTAATCTGCATCTTTCAAATTCCAAGGCACATGTTTATAATGGCTAAGATATTCAACTAAATTGTACTGGTACTATATGTGTCTTTTAGTTTTCTAAAAACACCTGAAAGTAGGTGTTCTATTTGTATAAATGCTTGAATTTATAGTAAGGAATCTGAGTACTTCCTCCACCACTCACTGAGCGACACAACAGTTGTCTGACCTTTCCAACACCCCGTCTGTTTCTTTAAACTCTATGTTTTGAAGAAGGCCTTTTTAAGAACTCTTACGCCTGTTTTGATGGTGTTGGCCGCTGAGGATCACTGGCCCTCCTGGGAGGCTGAGTGACCTCGGGCCACTCACTTTAAAGGGCTTTATTTTTGGGTTCCCCTTATTCAGGGCGAGGGTCAAGGGGCACGCCATCACCAAAAATGGAAAAGGCCCATAAGATAAAAACCGTTAGGAGGCAGAGCAGTCACAAGGCTTGTTGCCAGGCAGACAGGAATCAAAGCTGATTAGTTTGCTTTCCAATGTGGTCACTTGACTCATTGCAGTTGTTGCCTTATCCAGCACTTACATAAGGGTTTTGTGTATGGTATGTGGCGTTTTTTTATGTGAGCATGCATGCCAATGCTGAGTCTGTCACTGTCCAAGCGATGCCGTAGTTGTGTATGTTTACTTTGCTTGGCGGCCCCTTGGTAATCCCCCTCTATAAAATAGCAGGGGGGTTCCTGTCTGTCTTCTCTATCATAATCCTTCCATGTAACTGATCGGAAGCCCTGCATGCGGCTCATATTTACTAAAGTAGCAATGGATCAAGGAGACCCCCGAGGACTGTATGAGTCCACTTCACCACTTTAGATGAGTAAGAGCCAGAGAACAGAAAAAGGGGGGGGTGGCATCGCTTAGATCCCCCCCTAAAATGCCAAATGTGCCACAAGAGCAGAGTGATGAGAGGAAACATCACTGTGAAACCTGCCCACAGGAATTTAATATCCCAAAATGTATTTATAATGGCTGTCAATGGGGTTTAAGGGAATTTATAAAAGCATATGCCCGATACGTGTTGATTAAGCTTATTGGAGGGGTCAGATTATTTCTCCATGTTTCGGATTGTGCCAAAATGCTTTTTAAAAGTCTACACATAGATGTGGGTTTAGTTCAGCAGGCTAATTGTACAAGCTCAGGACAATTGAGACAATACAAAGAGGGACACTATGAAAGACGGTAAGCAACAGGTGATAACAAACACTATGTGTCACTCTTCTTTATATCTTGTAATAGACAAGGGTACAGGGGTCAAGAGTGGTATAATAAAACTATTGCAGTGGAAATAAAGTCCTCTAAACAGGCCCACAAGAAATATGTGTGCCCTCTTCATAAATGGCCCTTAATCAAACTAAAATGTAATACAACAAGGTAAGTTAGAACATCTGCCAATTTATTGATTATCAACAGCTGTCAGCAGTGAGTTTCCCAACTGAAAAACAGAACCACACTTGTTTACTTTGGTAAGGTAAAAACAATGTGTCTTAACCATTTAAAATATATAATTTAACAATCAGTTTCTCTGGCTACGAGAATATTCTGATGTAATGACATTTAAAATGATAGTTCGATTTGAGTGGCAGTATATGACACATTGAAATAAAATACTAATAATAATAAGCTAATAATAAGCAGTGGGACTCAGTCGGACTTGAATATTGCTCAATAAATCGCGGAGAGGTTGTTTGTGTATCTTCTGCTAGGTAAACAGACGTTGCAGTTGCTTTAAGCCAAGATAACATCAACTGGCCAGCAGAGACACAGTCGGATGCATGTCTGCCAGTGTCGTGTTCACGTGTACATGCATTCATGTGCATATACAGGTTAAGTACAAGTGTGCAAGTATTGCCAAGTCCTTGGGTTTGTTTGTGACATGTAGAGAAACAGCAACAGGCTAGATTTGGGGGCTCTTTATGAGCGGCTGCCTTCAATGGATAGTCTTCGCTCCAGGGTGCTATCTCTCTCTCTCTCTCTCTCTCTCTCTCTCTCTCTCTCTCTCTCTCTCTCTCTCTCTCTCTCTCTCTCTCTCTCTCTCTCTCAGGGGCCTCTGCTGTCATGGTTTAGTAGTCACATGGAAACAGCCATCAAAGCCTATAAACCATAGGAATGCGAGGGAGGTGTCTCTGAGTAGGTGTGTATAGGATAGAATAGAACAGTACAGGACATTATGATTCATCCAAATGTGTCTTCGGTCAGTTTAAGTAAGCAAAATTCAGGAAAATACAGTAAACCTATACAGTGTCAGACTTCTGAAGGGACCTTGAATGTAGACGGACAGAAATGCAGCTAAAGGATAAACTGTTCAGCTACAACGTTACCTGGAAAAAACGAAAAACACTGAACTTGTTTCCCAGCCCACACTCCCTAATTAGGGGGACACTCAAGGGGTTGCAGACACTTCTCAAATTAATAGGCATCAAATTAAACACTGCCTGACACGACAGTATCAAGTGACCGACAGGTTTATTTTTCCCCATCCAAACTCCACATTCCCTCCCCTCGAGCCTGCCAGCTCACTGAAGCTTTCGACACTGCCTGAGCCAAGTCATGATCAAGGTATCACCGCTGTTTCTCTTGGAATGGGGGCCAAATTGTTATCGATCCCCTGGTGACCTTGAAATTCTGCTGTACAAACCATATACAATACACAAGCATAAATAAACATGGTAAGTAGACGAGAGTAACTTTAAAAAGGCTCAAACTCCAATCATACATTTGGATCTTTTGCACACAAACACTTTCATTGACGTAGGTATACACACTCATTTGGGCTCTAACAGACGTATTCGGTGCCCACAGCCCCTCCAATCCGTCTCTCTGACAACAACTCAGCAACCTCTGCAGAAGGTTGTAACTGTAGAACTTCTACTCAAAGCACTCTTATATTATGCCAAGAACAAAGCAGAGCTCTTATTTTAGTCCACCACCGTAAGAGCAACAAAACTTACATAAATACATTTAAATGCATAAAATGAATTTTACATTCTTTTTTAATTGGGAAAAATATGTTTTTGTTGAACTATTGCACTGAAATCTACATCATGACATCATGACCTAGTCTGTTATTTCATTCTAAAGCCCAAATAAATATTTCATTTATGTGTTTTTTAAATAAAACATATTTAAATAAAACATATTTAGAATAGATTAATTATAGATCTTTTACCAAAAAACAGCTGAGTTAGCTATTGTAACAAATAAGTGTGCCATGTAACTGGACAAGTGGCTACTTGCCCTGTGCGTAACTGATACCACAGGAAAAAAGGTGTTAGAATTCAAAACATGTTCATCATTCAAGTTTAAGATTACTTTGCAATTTTGCGAAATAACACAAAAAGCCAGTGTAGATGGGTCAAACCTGCAGCAGAGGACTCACCCTTGGTAGTTGGGAACATTTGCCATTACCAAAATCTTCTTCTCCTTTCCTCCCATGTCTCTCATGGGTGTGATGGAGTCAGTCTCTCCAGATTTCCACTGGTTTGCTGTGTTTAGTTCCTGATGCTGGATGCTCTCTTCCTTGACCTACACACACCGAGCAGCAAAATTATCCAGGGTGACCATCAAGGCAAACAGAGACAGTTCAATGGAAAGCTCTGGCTGCTTGTGGTTCTCTGCAGTGGGAGCCACAGACGCCCAGGGATAAGCACCAGAGGGGGCGGGTGAAGGAAAGAGGGCAGGGGGAGGGGGTTTGCTCTGGGACCCAGGGACCACAAGCAGGGACAGAGAGGAAGAAGTGTTCCAGGGAATGTGGCTTGTTATAACGGAATGAGTGGCATGCCAGAGCGCCATGTGTCTCTACGAGAGGAGAGAGATACAGCATGGGGGAGACAGGGGGGCGGTAATGAGGAAAGATACAAAGTGGGTTTTTAAAAAATGTCTTCCATGTTTGTAACCTTTTACAAGGGAAATCTCTTTGCTTGTTAGTGTACTGTAGGTATTATATATAGATATATATAGTTAATACCTCAATATTTCATTCATCTTTTTCACTTGAAGGAGCAACAAGCTAATTTGTTACGAATAAATATGAGATTATTTATATTTATTGTCCGTACTCTACTTATGTATCCATCCCGCAAAATACATTATATAAACTTACATCACATATGGTTAAAGACTCATCCCTCACAAATTGCATTGTCTTTACTGCCTACTCTATGTAAAGGTGCTCAATAAATACGTCAAATTAATACAAAAATAAACGCATGAAACCAAATCAAACCGTTTTGAAAAATATATATTTATTGTAGGTTTAAACAAAATAACATAATAGTTAAAGATTCAGTGTGATTATTATGCTCATTTAATAACTTAAAATCCTTTTAATATGTTCACAATTTTCATAATTATCTTGTATTATTTGATAAGTAGCTAGTGTCAACAGTAAACAACATTTTGGAAGAGAACACAAGTCTCTCCGTTACACCAGCCTGTCACAGGATCGCCTCATTATCATCTGTTGTGTTTATCACCATCCTTCCTTGTCCTCCTGACCTTCCCATTAGGGAGCTCAGTCTTCCATCCAACGCTAAATCCCCCCCTCACTCCTCTGTCGCCCTCCTGTCCCTCTACCTTCTCTTTGTGCTAATTGGTGACACTGGTGCCTGTTGCTGTAGGGGTTTAGCAGCGCTTTACATCAGTGCAAGAGTGTCTCCCCGGGCTAAATGTTAGCATCACACGTGTGCTATATTTGGCACACTATTTAATTATCCTAAACAGCTCGATAACCCAGAGATAAGATAAAGAGTGCCAGACATGTTGTTCAGACTTGAAACGCAACATACTGTATGATGTTGGGAAGAGCGAGGAAGTCTGTATCTATAAATAAAACATTAAAAAGGTAGTAAATGACAGCACAGTTAAACAAATATCTGCTGGCTGACCTGGCTACCACCTGCTTCACAACACAGCAACAAAACATCTGTTATTCATTTATCAATTACATACCTAAAGACGATGAACTTAAACATGAGGCTATACGAGGAAAATCTCCCGTTGATAAAGATAAGTGACTTATCTAAAATATTTTTGTGTAAACAAGAAGAATATAGAAAACGTGTCTTTTTTTTTTATTGAATTTGTTATTTTCTACATGGGCATCTTAAAAGCATTACAATTGTAACATACCTGTTATGCACAATGACCAGATTCCCTGTCAACAAAAGGCTTTCAGAAATCATAAGAGGAAGGCATCTAAAACGTATAGTACCACTCTCACAACATCAAACAAACCTTGTGATCACACAATGAATTCCTGTAATGTGTGCTTTACAATGATGACTTCAAAAGAAGTTCCATGGAGTCTGTTCTGGTCTTCTGTATTGTGGCGTGGTATGGGAGCCTTGCCGCTTGTTAAACTGGTCTCAAAGTAGTTGGGGGTGAGTCAGCTGCAGCTCTCTGACCTCTACCAGTAGAAACAAGGAAGGCTCAATCCATATTAGACTGTACTCAACGTGCGTCACACAGTCAGGTACATTTTAAGAGCGGCATTTACTGTGAGGTATTTTCAGCTTCATATGCTGTGTAAACCGTCTGGTGTGGTGGCAGCGGAGTTTTAAAGATGTATCAAATCACGATTTAATGTATTTCTTCCAAGCTGATTCAGACTTTTGGTGACGGGTGGCACCCTGTTGACTTGACACAGATTTCCAGTAGCTGCACTTAATTTGGCCTGGAATCATAATCAGGAGGGCAGATTCCTTAAAGATTCCTGACAATGTCACAGCTGTATGGGCGCAAAGATAGGCCGACAAGCTGACCACCACAGTCGGCTGCAGAGACTTCTTTCCTTGTTCGACATTACTGAGGGCACCATTGGAAGCCTTTACCTGAAGCGCATTCATGGCGGACGGGGATGGTCAGTACAACACACAGACATGATATCATTTCTAGAAACTGGAGCACATCTATGTTTCTGCTGCCTGGTAACAGTCAAGCGACGATGGAGTGGTAAATTAATAGACTGTTAAGCCAGGATCATACATTTGTGATCAAAGAAGACAGTTGCTGTGGACATAGTTCCATGGATTACCATATAATCTGCAAGAGAAGTGCAAAAAAATAAACACAGGTAGATTATTAATTCATATTGAGGACAAAAAACAAAACATGTGTCAATGCTTTTCTGTCAGGTGACTCCTCAAAGGTATTCCTGAGCGTTCATACAACATTAACAAGCAGCAGAGATCTCTCCACACTAACATATGCCAATAAATGGATGTCAGTTTGATCCCTCGCTCCTGAACTCTACATGTCAAAGTGTCCTTCTCCAAAATCTGAACCCCAAGTGGCACCAGTGTATGAATGTCAATGAATGTTTTGAGTGGTTGCTAATCCTAGAAAAATACTATATAAATCCATACCTTTAAAATTTTCTCTGAATCTGTTAATCCAATTGACCTGCTTTCATGCTCCAAAAGCCTGTGCATGTACCCATCATAAAAATGTTATACTTTTCTCACACTCAGGGTCAAGACTTTACATGGAGTGTACAGTAATGTTTTTATTTTTTATAGTCAAAGTGGCTTATATTGTATGTAAACACATTATAGCACTGACATGGCACAAGTCGACGTCTAGACCGGTGTATATTCTGTATCGGCGACGTCACATTTAATTCCACAAATGAAAGAGTGTAATTACAAACAAGTTATTTGACAGATGTTTTAGTGCTTGGGCAAAGAGCCTGAGAAATCTGAGCAAACGCAGAAGGAGCTGGCACACAGTGTTTAACTTCTGTTGGGTTAAACTGGGCAGCTGAATCGCTCGAGATTCTGTATCAAGTGCATGACACCTTATTTAATTGCAGCTAAGGGAAGCATTCATTCCTGGGTCATGCATTAGGCAGAGTCCAGCATTGTGAATATTCAGCTATGGTAGTATCTAGTGATATGTCATGAACTATTCACCATGGCCCCGCAGATATAAACTCACTAAGACGCCATTGCATGAACATTTCACCTTATTGGTGGAGTCTCAAAATTAAAGTCACATTTTTTTGTTTTAATCAGCTGACACCATTTTTTTTTAGCCAAGTGATAAACCGTCAGAGGATTAACACTTGACTAATCTTTTTCAAAGCTCTTCTGCCTCATTTAGGTAACAGTTTTTGGTTTCACTGCACTATTTACTGTATTGTTTTTTGTTCTCCTAAAAAACAAGCTTTTAAACTGTAAACTTCCTGTCATGCATTGAAAAGCAGACAGACAAAGTTAGAGCCAAGTCAGTGAAGAAGCTAAATAAGTTAGCTCAAGAACAAGAAGTTAGCTAAAGACAAACACATTTTGTATTCATAATGTCTATAAACAGGTATCTGCAATCTTCAGATTCAGAATATGTACTGTACGTTAGCTCAGCTGTGTTTTTGGTCTGAACAAACGTCTCAGAAAAATATTTGTCTCTCTAGACGCTAAATGCTACTCGATGTTCATCAGCTCGTTGCTAACTCTACAACTTTTTAGGAGTAAATCATATCTGCTGTACAGTGCTGACCAGGAAGTGTGCTGCATGTTTTTGAGCAACTAGAGTGAACCCGAACAGTAAAGTTGTAGGCTGGACAGCAAAAATAATGTGCTGAAAATGAAACCCACCAATATCACCTTGTTCATTTTATTTTCTCATTTCACTTTCAGAGAGAAAATAAATCTGCACCTGTCCGGAAGAATATTAATACTCCTTTTATTTAACTTAAAAAGTCAAAGTACGGCCAGAGCGTGGGGCCAGTCAAACTTCCACCCTTGTCCAAGAATTAAGACTTCCAAGGATTGCTCAGGGTAAGGATCAAGTTATATTTAATGTCCCGTAAATTCATGTTTAGCTCTGGTTAGCTATCAGACCTTGACTTCAAACCGCTATCCAACATTGTTGTGGCACAAAAAACTCATCCCATTGCATCTGTTTACTCTCGCTTTTTTTCCACAACACCACAATATGCAGGCGTTTGTTTATACAGCTTAGGCCTTCTGTGTCATCGCAGCTGCAGCTCAGCAGGCTGGCATTAGGGGATACAGGCCTTTATTTATTTTGTAACTTGTCCGGCTGGAAGGAACCATTGCAGCCATGGTTCCCCGCTGTGTACGACCGTTTTAACACTGTTCTGGGTATTAAGGAGTCCTTCATGAGCATGATGAAGGACAAATGTAAAGTAAGATAAACAATGTGAAATACACACCTCCCTCATGCCCCACTTGTTGGTGGCAAGCTACTACCGTTTCATCTCCAGCTCGTAAATAAGTCTGAATAGCAGTGATGAGGTTTATGGAGGTCATGTAGGAGGAGAGAAGTGTGCCACCAGTCAATACTAGGTCAGCTAAGTTCAAGTTCCAACTTTATTGTGGTGTTCATTCACGGACCCCAAGTAGGAGTTAAGTATCTTGCCCAAGGACACATTGACATGTTGATGCAGGGGCTGGGGATCGGATCACAACATTTTGAATGGCGAACGACCACTCTACCTCCTGAGCCGCAGCCATTTAATTAAAAACAGTTAAGTCATGGGCAGTTGTAGCTTGTAAATCAGTCTTATAATGTCTTTATCTCTCGAGGGGCATCGGATAAAATGACTCAAAATACATCTCTTGATTAATTATATATAGGCAGTCAGTAATAACCATAACCCTGCAATTATTTAACATTTGATTAGGGTAGTTTGAATGGTACGGGAGTTTACAAAAATCGAATTAAACAGACCTTTAAATGCATAATTGAAAGTACTGGATATGATGTTTATGTGGGGTTACCCATTAAAAGGGACTTGAAAACTAACTACTTAGGCCACGTTTACACGGAGACAAAACGGGTTGTATCCGCTACAGTTCTCTATCGTTTGGACGGTTCGTCTACACGAGGCCGACACGGAAACGCGGATAACGATAACGGCTCCCAAGGTGGGTAGATCTGCGGACGAAATGCTCTGGGGGTCCAAACGGCTCCGTGTGTAAACCCTATACCAGGGGTATTCAACTAAAATTAAACGAGGTCCAGTTAGAGAAAACCTCCCCATGTAAAGGTCAGGAACATCAAAGTGCCTAACTTGCTTTATGAATTAATGTGATATATATTGAAGTAGCCTGTAGCTTTATCAACGTCTGCATGTAATCAACAGCTGACTGCCAATCAAATGAAGAAAGTACAATTCAAAAACAACAATATTTATTGTCAATTTACATTGAACTATACAGATATACAGTAACATACTGTGGCTATGTGTAATGTTCATGTGCATTTAAAAATAAAAGAGAAAATAAATTAAATAGCTTTTGAAAATGTGTGCATCTCAAAAGTGTTTAATTTTAGATAAATAAAATGAAGTGTAGCAGCAGCTTGAGTTTCCCTTTTTCTTTGTTAACCGTTTCACATCATGACTTAACAGTTTCAGACGATTATAGAACAATATCAGTCTTTACACATCATAACAATTGAACAGTTTTAAAGTTTCTCTTTCTTTCCCTCTTATATGGCTGTCCCTCACTCGCTTTTTTTTGGTTCAGTGTGAGAATTGAGCTCGAGCTTGTCCTGCCAGGAGTTTAAATCTGGGCTGAAATGGTGTCAGGGCCATTTTCATACACACATGCAGGTGCTCATTGGTTAGCCTCGGTTAGCCTGCCCTGGAACGATATTTAGTTTTAATGTTGATCCTGGTGGACTGATCATATTGGGCTCTGAGACTGCTTATTTTTTGTGACCTCAGTTCTGACTTGAGAGGGAATGTTTGGTCAAACACTTTGTGTTTTGTCTCATAGTGGCGTTTTGGCACTTTTAATGAGCGCCACGGTCTCTGAACAAATGAGACACACTGGCTCTGTGCTCCCCCAGTGGGCCGGATGAACATGAATGAGTCCGTCCACTCAGGGTTAAAAGCTCTGTTCTCACTGTCCACTTTCCTCTTCTTGCAGAGCGCCATGTGTAATTATTTGTCTCTCCCTGTCTGCCGCTAACACGCCTGTTCACTCTCCTCTCCGCTTCTCTCCCTGTATCGCTAATTATTCTCTTCACTCACTTTCCCCTCCGCTTCTCTCTGCCGCT